CAGGAATGCAGCAAGGTAAGCTCCTGGGGCAGTAGTGAGAGTGGTTCTAGTCGTGACAAGGTAAGCTCCTGGGGCAGTGTCATTGATTCAAGGTGCCTGTGCATGGTGACGGCACTCCAGAACTTTCTCTCATCAGTTCTGTGGTCTTTTATTATTGATTGTAGTCTCTGGCCATGCAAGTTCAAGCCTCGCGCTCCAGCAATTCTCTGAGCTACCCAATATCCTCTAATAAATTTCTTTCCTGTATAAATTCGCCACAGCTATTTTCTGTTCCTTAGGACTAAGACCCCTCATTAAAACAGAGCTTTTCATCTTCCTCAAACATGATTCTTTGCCTTGTGACCTTGCAACCACTTTTGATGCTTGTTATCTTTGTCAATGTACTTTAGAATACTTCAGTGAGACGTGTATGTGTTTGGGAATTAACTTTAATCTGCCTGCTCCTGGGTAGGTAATTAGCATTTGAAAGCCTAATCAGGAACCTTCACTACAAAGCTGGATGAACAAGTGCTTCCAATATCACTATGTAAATCTGCACTAGAGGTATATTAATTAGCATAAAAGATTAGAATTTTTCATCGTGGAAATAACTGGTGGTCAAGATATGTGGCTGGTTAGAATATTGTACAGGCAATTCTGTCCTTGCATAAACGTGGTATGTCTGCTGAGTCTAGCAGACTGACACTCATCAGAATGGCTCCCTAGAGTCTAGACCTCTGTTTCATACTTTGTCATCAAACATTTTTTGTGTACTGTTTTTTCGTTTGTGCCTGCTGTTGATGAATATTCGTGTAGTACTATTATGTCCAGACTTACTTTCACTGTAGGACACTACCCAGTACCAAAGGAGGAGATGGGTAGCTCTTATCAGTCTTTAGTTGTTGAAGGCTGCCAGCATTTACTACAAGGACCTGACAGTTGTGAAGATCAAGTGTTGCTTATTTTCATCCACCATAATTTTTGCATTTATCATTTCCTATCAACTTCCATTGCCACTACCCTAGTTGAGGTCCTGACCCTGAATTACTTCAGTAACTTCTATGCTGGTCATCTTGATGTCAGCCTCACCCCAGCCTCACCTACTGTACAGTCCCCCTGACTGATATACCCAGGGTACCACTCTGTGTCAGTCTTGGATTAAAACCAACGATTTATACAAATTAGAGAAAAAAGTCCAAACTCCTTAATCTGGCATCTGAGGCCTCCGGTGTATGATATACCCATACGCCCCCTTGTCTGGTGCCGTTTATCTTGAAATTAGAAGTATCAAGGTCAGTTCTTGGAGATCTGTCACATCAATAGCCAAACACCTGGATATAAAACAGCCGCCTGGGAACCATTTCAGTGACAGATTTCAAGCTGCAGTTATTGATGGCAGTGTAATGATCCTAATAGCTGGACCATCCATTCTTCAACACTTGCTTCTCTGCAGGCAAGGTCTGTGTGCTCCAGGCCAGAAATTTGACCAGAGGAGTTACTTCAGACTAAGAACATCTGTTGAAAATAGAATCATGATTTAAAAAAAAAAATCAAGGAAAGGAGGAGGGGACAGCACCCATGGCAGGAGAAATGGATCATCATATCATCCATTTCAATCCTCTGTGGCAGGGGTTCACAGATGACTCCTACATTACTTCTAAGTTTTATTTTCCTCCTACTTCTTTCAATCCTTCAATCCTATTCTAGAGCTAAACCAACTCAGGTTCTCCATAAACGATTTTCTTGGCCTGATTCCTTGTTATTGCTATGTAATACTTTGAGATTACAGACTTATTTCACCTCTATCATGTAATCTAATCTTTACAAAAACATGGTGATATGAACATTTTCATCACCATTTTTTGGATAAAGTAACCAAGGTCCAGAGAAACTACACTGTCCCAGAGCAGGGACTTAAACCTCAGTCGTTGGACTTAAAGTCCTAGGCCACAAGTGCAACTTTCTATCATTTCCCTCTACATGAAACAAAGGTATTTCAGTCTCATTTCTGCTGTTCACAGTAAGTAAGTAAGTAGGGAAA